GCTGAGTATGATGCTCAAGGGCTCACCTACACAGGTTTTTTTCCTGGATATTTTGGCTAAGTAGGTAAGAGACACAGCTGAATAGACTACAGAGCATATAGGTGTTAATTGATCATTGGTAACATCTCCTTATATTTTAGGGTAATGACAAGGGATGGCAAATATACCTAGAAGCATATCTGTAATTAGCACCGCAGACAGTGGTTTTATACCATGATGACAAATTAAAAAACACATTTTTAAAGGCGCATTTTACTTTACCAAAGTTTTTCTGGCTGAGTACTCTAGCTTGCTGTACGATTAGTTGTGAATGGAAAACCTGAAATTGGACAAGTATGTTCAGCTTGACTTTTAAAATACTTGATCCGAAACATGCTTATGGCGAGCAAAATATCTGAGCTCACTGTAGATCAAAACCACAAAACATTAATATGAATGAAAGCTGCAGTATCACTTTTAGTTTTGTGCACTTCGCATCCAATGTTTCATTAGGAGCAGGATTGCTCCATTGTGAGGACAGCGCGTTCTGCAGGGTTGATGGCACTAATTGTTACAGCTCAGGATGCTGGAGAAGAGAAATTTCTCTCCTCCCTGGAGAGGCAGTCCCAGAAGGAGGGTGAAATGTTAACATTTGGCCAAGATTTATTCTTTAGGTTTAGGACTGGAATTTGTCAGGCTCAGCAGAAAGAATGCCATTAGCTTTGACAAGTGCATGTATGTGTCTGTGTTGGGTAATCTTCCCATTTTATTGCAAAAAGCTGAAATTGACGGTACCTGTCAAAAACTATCATCTTCCACTCTCTAAAAGAAAATTGACCCTTGCTTTCTCTGCAGTATCCTTCAGCATGAGAGCAGGTCCACCTCTCCTTCAGCTAATACTACTGCAGTAAAAGGAAGCGGAGATTGAAAATATAATTGACCTGATGTCCAGAGCTTACTGTATTGAGGTTCTGAAGTATTGCCTGAAAATTATTGCTACATTTTAGGAGTATTCTTATGCCTGGAGAGTGCTATGCATTTCTATATTGCTTTATGAATAATACTAAACAATAAAGCAGGGCTATTTTAAAAGTCTGGTGTTATAAAAACAATCAGGACTACAAATAAATGGTGTATACCATTAAAAATACTTACAACAAATCTATTGGAAAAGGCAAAATTAACCGGTAAACTACACAAATGCTATCAGAAACAAAGAACTCACAGCTTTTCCTCCAGCTTCATGGCCAGGAGGAAAAAGTCCTTTAGAAGTCTGACAGTATTAAAATAGTATTTGTAAAATTCCTGAATATATCTTTTTCTTAACAGCTTTTAAAGCAGAGATTTACTTGCGCATAAATTATTTTAACACTCTTATTCACAAAAGATACCCGAGACTTTTGCTGTATATACAATCTTCTTCAAGGAATAATTGTAGTCTAGTAATTCCTGAAGGCCATGATTAGTTCCAGTTTAGGATTTTGTATAATATACTACTCTGTGGTACCTAGTCAACCAAAGGTGTCATAAAACTATTATAGTATCTAGAAAGAACATTACATTTTTTATTGTTCAGTGTTTTAGAATACGTTACTTAAAGAAATTAGTAGAAGTCCACAGCTCATGCCTCTTTTTGCTTTTATAGTATATTGTGGTAATTAAAGAAACATACAAATGCTTTTAGGAGCAATAAACTCTTCCAACCTCTAATCCTGGTGCAGTGGCTGGGAAGATTTATTCTTTATTCATTTGTATGCACATGACAATTCAGCAAGGCTCAAGTACTGACTCTACCAGTTTTATATGATACGCCTTATGATTTCCTTGATAACTCTCAATTATACCCTCTTCTCTGCCTGACCTCAGGAACTTTAATCTTCGGCATGAAACTTTAGTCCCTGCCATTCTAACATCACTGGTCAGGCCCTACACTTACAGGTACTTTGGAAGTTCACTTTTTTAAAGAGTAAATCCAGCAGCCCCCACTCCCTTGTTATCAATTTCACAAGCTTTAATTTGGTATCTGTTTCTAGATTCTCCCTCATTCCTGACAGAGATTCTTGCCAGCGTTGATCCTGACGGCAACACGGAATACTGTAGCACAGACTGTTTAGGAAAGCCGTTTACAGGAAAAGTATGCAGACAATTAACTTAAATGGCATAACAAATATGGACAACATTGCTACACATTAATAGTGACAATATGCTGGAACACACCAGTGTTTAGGATTAAATTAAAATAGTAATGGACAGATTGTCTCTACCAGCACCATCCTGTGCATAGCATAGCACACAGCTGTGCCTTGCTGAGAGGAGCTTCAGGAGAGAACCATAACCAAAGACCCAGCTGCTTTCATTCCTCCACTCCTTGCTTCCAAGGGAAACAACCCACGGTCTTTCACTCCCAGCAAAAGATTTACTTTCCTTGTGTTGATGATCAGGTTTGCTCTGCTTAATCTGTATGTTTCCTGAGTCTCACTGTCCAGAAAGTAGGAGTAGTAGCATAGCTGGAAGACATTCAGAGCACAGTTTTCCATCTCAGAGCTTGCCTACATGTATTTGCATGGACCATAGTACGACCTAGTGTCTTTAGAGGCCAAATTTTGCTACCCTTACAATGACAGGTGTTTCCTGAGTGCATTGATGATAACTTCCTTGCAAAGGTGATCAAGGAGCTGACAAGGGGAGGTGCTCTTCTGGATCTGATACTTATAAATGGGGAAGAACTTGGCTGCAGTGACCATGAGACTGTAGGATTAGGGCAAAATAACAGAATCACAACCCTGGACTTAATGAGAGCAGACTTTGACCTGTTCAGGGGTCAGGGATCTGCTTGGAAGGATCCCATGGGATATAGTACTGAAGAGGAGTCCAGGAGTCGTTTGAGTTTCAAGGATCCCTACCTAGAAGTTTAAGAACAGTCCATCCTGACATCAGGAAGTCAAACAAGAGTGGCAGGAAGCCTGTGTGGTTGAACAAGCTGCTCTTGACTAAACTCAAATATAAAAAAGAGGTGGGAGCAGGGGTAAGTGACCCAGGAAGCATATAGAGCCACTGTCTGAATGTACAAGGTGGATCTGGGGAAATACATATTGTTCAGCTCCAATCCCAGGAAAGGTGGTGAAAGAAAATAATTCCTGGTGGACAGATTGACCATAAGCCAGAAAAACATTTGGGATTCCTCACCTTCCTGTATTTCACATGGATTTTATGTATTACCACTTAGGTAGATTTAGTAAATTATGGTTGTATACCTGCATATTAGAGAAATTCTTCTAAACTGCCTTGGGTTTTAGTGGTCCAGAACTGTAAAGCACTGTTAAAATTCATTACTGATCATGTTCTGCTGATTTTTGTCCAATGAATCTTTCAAGTTTTTCAAAGCAATGCAGCTATTCTTGTTTAGAGCCACCCATGTGTACCTCCTACAGTTGCCTGGTCAAACACATATGGTGGCTAAAATTAGTAACTCTCATTCACTTTACTGTCCCATTAGTCTCAAAGATGCTCCTTTTACGAGCAGGCACTTTTCAATGAGTAAATGTTGCAGAAGCTAGAAAAAATAGATATTATTTTCTGCAGTCTTTCACTTCATAGATTTGGTTCTTGCCTTCTCCTAGTTGTATTTGCTTGGCTCCTTTTTATTTCTGGCCATTTCAGTTTTTTCCCCAAAACAAATACAACGTTTCTTCTCTTATGGCTGATTATCTTTTAACAAAGAGCATTATGTCATCAGGAGAGACCTAGATTTCTTTAAAACAAGTTGTAATAAAATGCAGAAGAGGAAAATCAAGGAAAAAGCCCTAAATTCCAATAATTTCAATTTATTATTTTTTAAACTGAGTTTGCTAATCAAAAAAAAGTAGTAAGCGACATGCTATTCTGCATTATTTCTATGCAAATCAATGAACAAAAAATGATTAGTTGGGAACATTTTTATTGATTTTAAAATAGGTTTTAGGATTACAAGAAATTCAATTCCACTGAAGGCTTAAAAAATTAATCATATATGATTGTATGTTATATGTTCAATGAAGAAGTAAAAAGGAATGCATTTCTTCCCAAATGGATCAGTATACAGCTTCCAATGATTTCTATGCTGTAGCAAGTTAAATTTATACATCTGTCTAAGATTAATGGAACGCTATATATCGTCAACTCACCTTACTGGTTAATATCAGCTGTACTTTGAAAAGATACTTAGTGATGAATTAAAGCAGTTGCCTTTTGACTTTATAGGATTGGTGAGTATCAATCAGATATACAAAACTATGGTATGTGCTCAGAACAATGTCTGAGAAGAACAATCACTGTTGGAAATGGGAGATAAGAGTAATTCTTTTTGAGTCATACCACTTAGCAATCTGCAGACAATTCAACTCCGTTGCCAGTACTGCCAGGTAGGAGAGGAGGAAAACCAGCATAAGGGCAAAAGAAGAGCTGTTACGCTGCTGTACTGAAAAGTGATTGAGCATTTCACATTTTATGATACAGGAATAATGGTGATTATCAACTTCTGCATGTAAAGGTACCACTTGAAGAATCTCAGGAGGGTGAACTATGATCCCATCAGCATTTTCAGGAAATCAAAATATACTGAAACATAGAGAGACATCAGCTAAGGTGTAAAAATATAAATATTAAAAAACATTTTTAGCAGTTTGGGGGTTTTTCCCCCCAGATCAATTTTTCTTTATCCTTTTCTTTACCTATGTTATCCCCCTTCTAAAATCCCATATTCTCTCTGAAGATGGACATGAAACACACGTGTGGCCTTTCCTCCTCCCAAGTGTTTTCTTCTTCTTCTCCTCATCCTATTTTTTATGCATAAATTACCTCTCAACCCTTCACTTTTCCACTTCCCCTTCTTGTTTTTTGGGGGGGGGGGGGGGATTCAGCACCACCACCCGCCTCCACCAGGCCCGCCCCGGCCCCCCTCAGAAACCGGCTCCTCCCCCGCCCCGAGGGCCCGGCCCCTCGCTCCCGCCATGACGCGCGGGAGCTCGGCCGAGGGAGGAGCTTCGAAGCCCGTCCTCCCTAGCGGTTTGTCCCTCCGGCCGAGCCGTAGCGCCTCTCCCCCCTTCCCCTCCCTCCGTCATGGAAGGAGCCGCGGCCTCCTCCGAGGGCCTGCGCCACGCCGAGTACATTCGGGTCCCTACGGGCGCCGGCGGGGGCCGAGCCGAGCGGGACCGGGGGCTGGTGAGCGCGCCGGGTGGGCTGCGTGGGGGCGGGGGGTGGCGCATCCCGCGCGTGGCGGCCGAGGAGAGGGGAGGGCAACAGCCGGCTCTGCCCCCTCCTCCTCCTCCCCCTCCTCTTCATCTTCATCCCCTCCCTCCCGCTGCCCCTTTTCCCCCTTCCCCGGCCTGTCAGACCGCCCTGCCAGCCCGGGGCTTCCACACGCCCGCGGGGTGCGGGGGTTGGGGCTGCGGGGGGGGCAGGCGTTCTCCGCTCTCCCCGCCCCGGGTGGGAGCGTGCCCAGGGTGGGAAGGGTCGTGTCCCCTCGCCTCAGGCCGCGTGTGGCGTGGGGGGGCAGCGTGGCGCGGGGGAGCGCTGCCCACCCCAGGTACAGCGCGGTGCCGGCCCAGCGCTCGCAAGGCCTAAAATTCAAAATTCCCTCCCGTTGCAGTAAAGGGGTGATACCTGTGAATTTTTAACGTACTGCGTGGGTTTTATTACCGCAGGTTAAGGGTTTGGTAGAGCTTTGTGTCGGAAGAGTGATTTTCGCTTGATGTTTTGTCCTGTGGGAGAAGCTGGGTGGGGCTGGAGCAGAGGCAAACTCCCCCAAAATTTCCTGTGCCATCTAGTTCATGAGACAGTGGAAAGTAATTGGGAAAAATGCATGCATCACTGCTTAAAGCACTGGATGGTGAAGTTTTCACATCTTTAAAATGGTTTTCAGTATGTATTTGCCTTACTTCATTGAGTGCGTGTTGTTGCCTCTACATTTTTTTTTTCTTTTTTAATTTTTTAAATCATAGTTCTCTATAAGCTATTTATTCATTGTTGCTACAGTCTAGGACTTTCCCCCCCCCCCCGCAGCCCAGGAGAGTCATTGTGTATTTAACAGCAAGCTGTGTAATCTTAAGAACCTGAATCCGAAACTCATTATTGTCACATATATGCACTCTCCCCATGGAATGCTAGCAGGGAAGTTCCCAGTGAATTTTGTGGAGTCTTTGGTCTTTTCACTTATCGGAGATAAAAATTGCATCCGGGGTTAGTATGGCTTGCTTTGTTGGTGTGAGTTGTGGTGGGTTTTTAGAGGACTAGGTTCTGGATTGCTGCAGTTTTCTATCAAAATTTATTCTTTAGCCAGGTCTTTCAGTGGAGAATGCAGTATTTTTTAGGCATATATACATTGTAAACTGTTAGCATATGGTTGGCAGTGGAAGCTATTTCAGAGTTTCTTTAGATGATCCTATGTAGATAGTGCAAAAAGGGACAGCGCTCATGCTTACCGCATTCCTGGCTAAGGAGTTCAGAAGGAGGTCAACTTGTATATAACCAAATTCTAAAATTTTGCCATAGAGAAATAGCAAGATCAACCGTAGTGCTGTGCATCTATTTGTTCCTCAGATGTACAGGGCTAATGAGGCATTTTTGTCACAGTGGAAGGCAGTGTCCATGTCTCAGGGCTGAAAGAGCTCTGTTCAGTATCCTACCCTGAATCTCAGTTGTGAGTTGTCCTGGATGTTAGCTGTAGTCAGTTGGTCTGAGTCACTCTTGTAGTTGTTTTACAAAAACGTTTGGAGTGACAAGAACAATGTAGAAGCATAAAGTGTCTGTTCTCAAAGATGCCTGCAAGAGGCCTTTGTTGATTAATACATACTCAAGAAGATTGATTTGAATGCCTTATGGTAATGATTCTATTAGCGAATCTTGCTCAGGTACCATTTCCTATGAAAAACTACCAGAAACTTTAGGCATAGTTATATACAAACCAAAGAAGTTGCTGTGAAATAAATGACAAAAATTGACATTTGAATTATATGGAGAACAGCATCTAGCTGAAATTACTTTCAAATCACTACTGGAAAATAAATAAAGTTTCATAGGAGGGTAAGAATGGAAGGGAAACATTAGATTATGGAATTAAAAGTGTTGCAGGTAGTTTATAATATAATCCCACCTTGAAATGTATTTGGCTCCATATAGAGTTACTTAGGTGGTTTATTCCGAAACAGACTTCAAGAAGCTGTAGTACCTATTCTTCTAAGGATTAGAAGCCTTATTCTAGCTTCCATACCAAACAAAAATTTAGTTCAGGTCAAGAATTTATATTCAAGGGAAAAAGTAGTTTCAGAAATATTTTTGTACACTTGATTAATATACTTGTGAATCCTTCTTCTTAGCAGCATATTGCACTTAAAAAAACAACAAATCACACCTTCTTAAAACAAAGTTTTTAGTTAAGCAAGCCATTTATACTTGTGTACTTATTTCAGTGTAAGTATATACTTCCTATTTTACTGATCCATGATTAAGCATGGACTAATAACAAAATACTATCCAATTCATCAGAACAAATTATTATTTTCTCCGTGCTTTTTATTCCATTACACTGTAGCTTTCAGAGGCAAAAGACATCGGAGCTCTTGCTGTATGTCTGAAAGCTAGTTATAAGAAGAGCAAAATATTTTCTCTTTGACCAAGAAGGGTGTTTTCCGTGGTTGTGTTAGAAATAAATAAACCACAAATCCTATGCAAGCAAGTATAATTTAACATTCATAAAGGTGGTTCTTGTAGCCTGTGGTCAGATGTAATACTGTTGCACTGAAATTTGAACATTATTCATTTGAAAATCTTTTTATATTTATAAGGGATTTTTTTTTTTTACTTCATAGAATGAGAAACTGCAATGCTAGGAATTACAGAAGTTGTTTTTTGTTTTGTTTTGTTTTTAGTATGGCTAAGTTAGCAGAGACTGTGGATTAGGAATTTGCAGAAAAACTATCTCATTCTGCCCTGTTTCTTCTGCTAAAAAATTAAGGCTACTGGAAAATTATGCATTAGAGGATTAAGCCACAGATCTCTGTATGCTAATAGTATATGATGTATAGCTCTAATGTACTGTACATTAATTAATATGCTTTATCCTCTTTTGTTTGCCAAACACTGGTGGTAGGTCAGGTCTTGCAGTTGCCTTTCTAATGTGTGTGTTTTCTTACACGTTTCTGAAAATAATTTTTAAAAAATCAGTTTTTTTGGGTTTAGCAAACGTTTGTTTTATTGTTTTCTGTATCTAAGGGGGTTTGTTACTGAGAACTGAACTACACAGTAAAATTAACATACTGAGATCAGCAGAATAGTGCAGGGTTGATGACTGACCTTTGGGAGCTGATTCATTGAATAAAGAAATGGACAGATGTTGCATTTTAATCTTTTATTTCTTTATTTTTCCCTCTTGGATTTTAACAGAAAGCTTTTATTTAAAACCTACATCTTCAAAATTTCTTAATGACATTTTTTGGAGTGGAGGGGGAAGGTCAATTCTGTCATAATTGAAAGTCAGTAAGTATTAATTTTTTTTTAGCCTTTATGAGTCTGAAATAAAAGGCATTTTCAAGTAGTGGGAACCAAAAATAGTTACAGTGGTAGTTGCATTAGTATGTTGTAAATGAACTGATCCCTTCCACAATGATCGTGAGTTGTTCATTTAATATTGACATGAAAGGAGTGCATTTAATTAAAGCTTTGCACTGTATACTCTACATTTCAAAGCACCAGACCAACCTTGATTTATTTAAATAGTCAACGGAGTTAAGTGAACATGGAAAAAGAAACTGAGTCAAGCTGGACTTAAAAGACTTACTGGTTAGTGCTTGAAGTTGCCACTAATTTTATGAGAGAGGCTGTGCCAGTAAAAGACAAACCTGACAATCTTTCTTACACTGATTACATTTCAGTTTTTATCTCATGTGTATAGTTAGGACATATTCATGCCATAACAAACGTTCAGGGTGTTTTGGTATGACAAATTATCACATCTTTGCTAGTATGTGGCAAGTGACTCTTCTCTAACCTGCTCCTAATGCAAATAAGGCGAGTTACTGTAAACCAATATTTCTCAGCTTTTCTGGTGGTTGTGCCTCACTTCAAAACGTGGAGAATCTTTCATGCCTCTCTGGCTTGAGCTTTCCATCACTTTTACCCTGTTTTCTGGCTTGTCTTCATATTCCTGTTGATACTGCATACTGCTCCTATTCTAGAGCTGCTGCCATGCTTCTTTTTTACCTGCTGTTTTCCAGGCAGCACTAGCTTTCCACTAACTGCTAGTGCTTTCCACTGAGATTGAAATAATGCATCCCAGTGGACACAGCTGACTATCAGAGGCCCTCAGGAGTCTCTACATTGTGTTCCCAGGCTACTGTGCAAAACCACTTAAGCTGTTTCTGCACTGAACTGACAGAGTTCAGGTATTATTTATTTTCCTGATGTCTCTGCTTGGCCTTACACGTGATGAGGTGGCTGCTGCTAATGCCTTACTAGTGGTGGCATACCTTGTTGTAGACTGCTGACTTAAACCACCTTTTTGGTGGCAAAGCAAGTATAACTAAATTTGGACAAGCGCAAGCTAATAAATATTATTTTTTTTTTGCCAGTGTGATCTATTTTACAAATTGTTGAGCTCTTAATTGACTGTAACTACTTAGTAAAAGATTCTTGCTGTCACTCTGAATAAGTCAAAGAAAGTCTCTATTGAATATAAATCCATGGTCATAAACCACAGAACAGAATAATACAAAATTTCTGTAGGGTTATGATATTTTCAGAAATGTTGTGGCTTTTTCTGGTTAGTGTCTAATCAAAGGAATTAGAATGATTTTTTAGAAGGTTTGAATATTGAGACCCTGGGAATACCGATTTGTGAGAGGAAATGAAGAGAGTTTTAGTGAGGAGATGAACTGTATGCTTTGCTATTTTATATCTTCTACCATTTAAGGTAACGTACTTATATTTTTTTCATGGTCTAAAGATGAGGGGAAATTTTGTGGAACTGAAAGGAACAACAGACATAAAACCACTACATTATTTTTACATTCAGATATGAATGCTATATTGAGACTGAAGACTACACTGAAATGGAAGAGTTAGGTTACTAAAATGGGATAGACAGTCAGACTTTTAAGGCCAAAACTCCCCCTGTCTTAAATTTGGAACTCCACTTTCAGTATGTGTAGTGAGTTTCATTTTTTCTACTAGAAACCTCTAGGCAACTGCAGTATTATTTCATACAAATAGCTAGAATAGCCCCATCCAGGTAGATGGGAGATAGGTACTTAAAGCATACAGAATCCAGAAGCTAGATGTAAAGGAATACAGCTGCATCTAGATGACCTCAGAGCAGGCTACCGCTTTTTCCATTCTGAGCTCAGTACTGTTGGCAGCAGTCATGGATATTTGCCTTCAGAGCCGAAGCCGTAGGAGCCGCTGGCATGATGGCAGTGCCTACCTACGTCTTGTACGGCTGCCCATTTGCTGGGAAAGCTGCCAACCTGTGTTCTAGCCCCTACTAAGCCAGCTCTAGAAGGCTTTAGAACCTGTATTTCCCAACTCTTCCTCTCTAGAAATGAGGTTGGGTACAATCAAAGAGAATTTTAGCCCTGGGAATCTTAGTGGCAAAGGCAACTTACATCCAAATCTAGTTACTAGGGCGCTCACAATGAAATTTGAGCTCAAATCCTGCTGTTAGGGTTGTTGGTATGGGATAAATGCAAAAGTCAGTCATACATAGAAGAGACAGTCTGGTGATAAAAGCATTTTCACTATTGTTATGTTTTGAATTCAAGCTAAACAGGCCTAATCTGATTTCTCAGGTTTCCTTGGGAAAAGTTCAAGGCATTGTTAACTGTCATATGATAAGACAGGTAGTGCCACAGTTGACTTCATTTCATTTGTTACAAAGATTGCATGTAGGTAAGTGGAAAGATGCCCCCAACACTTGTAACACTCATTACCCTTGAATTCTGTAAATGTATGAGAAGTTGGTCCCTTCTCCAGGGTTTACTAAACATCTTTTAGCAGCTTCTTGTTCAACATGAGGATACTTACTGTCCCTCTTGAGATGCCTGGCTTTCTTTAAGCACTGTGTAGGAAAACACATACACCTAATCTGGGGGTTTTGAGTTAGTAAAAGGTAGGAATTGCTGTTGTCTAAATCCGGTGTTCAAGTCTGTTTTGTTGTTTTGTTTCCAAAAGCCCAGTTAGACTTAGAGTGAATTTTAGCTGATAATGAAAACTGTCTGAAATCTGTCAAAAGTCTGCCTATTTACAAATATTTGTCCTATAAGAGAGAGTCCAGCCAGCAGCTGACACTAAGTAATAAAAAGAGGTTACTGAGCTTCATGTATTTATCGGGGCTTCTATGAGTTAAAGCGTGAAAGATACTAGCATGCATTTGTGGCTGTAGCGTTTAAGTTAACATTCCAATACCATTTTCAAGCAATGTCACGATGAGATTTCCACTGAAGGACTTTGCAAAACAATACTTTTTTTAGCTCTTCATGTTTTTGTAATAAACGGATACTTTCTGTTATGTGCTGTGTCGAACTAGTCTGCGCAAATAATTTCAAGTAATCCTGAATAGTTGTCTGCCTTCTGTTTCTACCATTGCGTACTGTGAGCTGCTTTGTCACTGTTTGCTCACTGGTTTGCTAATGGTTAGTTCCAAGTTAAACCCGATGCGTTGACAAGTGTTAATGGAGCTGAACTATAAAATCTAATGTAGCTTGTGGAATACAGAACTTACTTTTATCTTTCTTGTAAATTATACATGAAATATCCATGTCAGACATCAGAAATACTTGCTGTTAAAGGTGCATATATTTCAAATTAGAACTTGCATGTTATTCTGATTCCTGTTTTTCTGTTTTAGGCCAGAACTATGATAGCAGTTGGACTTGGTGTTGCAACTGTTGCATTTGCGGGTAAGCTGAATTACCAGCTGGGTGTGGAACTGTCACTTGTGTGCTACTGTTTCCACAACAGTTAATTAAGATTTTTTGAAAATAAATAATGGAAAGGTCTCTTGAGAGTGCTATAGGGAATTGTGTCCAGTTATAGTTCCTGTCCCTCCAAAATCCTTGACATATTTTCCAAAATCCTTTTGAAAAAGCACAGCTGAAGAAACTAATTTTACAGGTAGCAGCTGAAAGGTTCCATCTACTTTTTGTCTGCAAAGTGTAATGTGAAAAGTTCACTTTGTTTATTTGGTGGCATACTGCAAGGTGGAGACTCTTTAATACAGAAGAGTGCAACAGGATCTTGTGTCACTAAGGTGATGATCGACACATTCAAATAGAACAAAATAGAAGGTTTTAGTGACTGCAGTGATTTATCATAGTAAACTGTTACCATAGTATATCGTTTGTTACTTTTTGCATCTGGACTGTATATTCTTCTGAAAAATAGGTTCTAGTCTGACCACAGGATATGGGCATAACATGATTTATACTCTGGGTTACTCAGACTAGATAACTGTGGCCTATTCTGGTTTTGAAATACACAAATCAATTTCCATTATTTTCAGCACCTAAAAGCAACCATGGTTAGCTATGTGCAAATGCATACACCAGGAATAGATGCAATAGATGAACAAGTTGCACCAAACTTCAGCAGGTGTTTGGTGGGTACAGTTGTGTTGTTTTTTCAGCTGGTTGAGCTGAAGAAATAATGGCAACTAGCAAATAAGTAATAGCAGAAAGCATTTATAAAAAGGTGAGGTAGTATATTAGTACATCACAGCATTTCAGCAGTGATACTCTAACAGTGGTTTTAACTGCTGTGTTAACATAGGCACAGGCTTAGATGAGAAAAATAACCTATGGACCCATTGTGTATTTTAAGAATGAAAGCAAGGTTTTATTTGAATGAAGCAGAGTGACATTTTATAAAAAGTTTTTCCATTGTGTATAATAGTAAGTTACATTGCTAATGAATAGTTAATCAAAACAATAATTGGGGAGAGCTGACTTACAGGGAAAATCCTCCAGTAACATGGCACAGATCGTGATTCTGAAGTTCATAGACCTGCTTTGTACTTCTGAGAACACAGTCTAATAGAGTTCCCTCTAGCCTTTCATAGCTATAGATGTTCACTGCTGGTGGGGAGTTGAATGCCTCTGAATCCCAGAAGATCCTCTCTTTGTAACGAAATAAAAAATGTAGTACTTACAAAATGCGTGATTAAGCATACAACATCACAGCAAGAAATGTGTTGTACATAATATATTTTTTTTGAAGTCATAACCTTTGAACAGTATTTAATAAATAATGTATATCCAAAGCTAATGTTTTATACTGCCCTTTTTCTTAAAGTTCACAAGGCTGATATCTTAATTTATCATATTGAAATGCATTTAAATCCATTCATTTTGTGAGCAAACATAATGGATCTTTGCAGTTCATGACTAGGTTTTTAGATGAAGTGTACTAAACTTCTTCCCCTCCATCCCCTAATAGTACACAGACTGAAAAATGTAAACCATAGCAACTTTACCATGGGACTTCAGCTGGGCAGGATCCAAAAATTACTGTTGAGGGAACATCTTGAAAAGAAGTGCAACAGTGCTGTACAGCAAATAAATGAGGCAAAAGGATTAATAAGGAAGGTTTTTGATTTTTTTTTTTTAAACCAAAATTCTTTCAGCTGTATGATGATGAACATAAGTTGGAGACCTTTTTTTTTTTTTTCCTTTTCGTGAATGTTGCTTATAATTTCATTTAATTTCAATCTTTTTCAGGTCGCTATGCTTTCCACCTTTGGAAACCATTGGAGCAGGCAATTACAGAGACAGCAAAAAGGATTTCAGCTTCTGTAAGTTTAGAGGCTACTTCATGCTAAATTTATGATTTTTATATTTCAGGTATTTGGGAAGGAAACTTCTTATGTTAGATATGATGCCACTTAGATCTTTTTCTTTCTAGGATAAGGATGCTCCTTACTGTGTGTGTTCTGGTGTATTATCTGGTATATTTTAAATTCCTGTGGATGAAGCTGTATCAAAAGATGTTTGTGAGTTTAATAAACAGTTCTGATTTTCCTGGTGATGTTCCAGGTTTCAGAACTCTTTGCTACTATGATAAATTGTTGAAATGCTCTGTGAGAAAATAGCTAATTCCTAGAGATTACAAAGTGATGGCATACAGTTTCATTTCAAAAAGCTAAAAATGAAAGAATTTCATAATTTTTCTTTCAGATACGATGTTAAAAACCAAGAAGACACATTGATAAACTTCTAGAAATTGTCACCATAGAGATGGGCAAGCTTATTTTCTTGTTCATATTTGAGTTGTCTGTCTTTTTCTTCCCCAGCTAATTTGAACTTTTAACAAGGTTTTTGTTCTTTGTTTTGCCCTATGTATCTGAAAAAATATAAAAATGAGGTAAGAAATCAAGAGGTAGAGTATTGTGAGAGGAACACATGCAGGAAATATTTGAGAGCATTTACTTTTTGCTTCATTGGCTATACTGTCCTCTGGTAAATAAATAAATGTGTTCCATTCCTGTTTGATTAGAGTAATTCCCAGTAAGGTAGGTGTCTTCGTGAGGCAGTGTCCTCTTTCAGAATTCATAGTCTGTGAACATGTAACCACAGTGAAAGGAGTACAATTCCCCTCTTGATGCTGATGGGTGAGGGTGTTGAGGGAGGAGTTGTTGCACACTATTATTTCCTGAAAAATATATTAAAGGTAGTTTGTTTTGGTTTTTTTAAGTGATCATTAGTGTTGTACCTATTAGTGTGAGGCTGATTGCAACACAGAGCCTGTCTACAGTATATAGACAGACACTAGGGTCCAAATTTGTTTGCCATCTGTACTTTATGTTCATTTGCTGAAGGTGCAAGCTTGATCAATGCAAGCTTTGTGGGGAGGGAAAGACTCAAAACGTGGGCTGTCCTCTTGGGGCTGGTCCACACTTGTTCTTAATTGCGATGTGTATCAGCCAGAAATGGAATTCCTGGATCATTTTTTGCTCTCTGTCCTTCTGTTGCATTGCTGTTGTGAGACCACCATCAATTATTTTTTTTTTCCTTTTCAAAGTAATTTTTTGAGAGATTCCCAAGTTGCCTGCCAAAACAGCAGAGGAGACTTTAGGTACTGTGAATTCAATTGCTTTCGCATGATATGGATACAGTCTGACTTGCAGAAGTATCTAGCAATAAGGACGTGGCTTCAGAGTAGGGAGTGCTTCAATCTTCACCCTCACCAGCAGTTTTACTCCAGCTTTTCTTCTTCTCTCCATTTGTAGATCTAGGCTAGAGAATCTAAATTCAGACATGTTCACATAAGAAAGCAGCCAGTGACTCTTTTTAACACATTGAAATATGACATGCTACCGTGCAGAGAGATGTCTGTTCCTAGGAAACTGTACCCCTCAATACTGGTATTCTGGCTGAGCCAAGCTCATTACAGGCCTGCCTCATTTTTACCACAGTGACTTTGAGTACTGTAGAATTCATGAACGACCGTAAAGAGCAAACTAGGAGCTCCTACATTCTCAGTGTTCCTAGTCCCTGGAGCTGCATCATCTGCCTTCACATCCTGCCTTACAGCCGAGAATTGTATATCGATTTCCAGTAGAGTATCTGTCTTCTGCTATGCTATTTCTGAACTTTAGAATGCAAGTTTTCAGTGTAAGATGAGATTTGATGAATACAATAAAAACTTTCTCTTCTGGTTTGCCATTAACTGTATTTGCCAGCTTTACATCTGTGGGGATAGTGATAATATTTTTCCTCTGCCATCATAGTGCAAATTTAAGACTCTTGTATGATTCTTAGCCAAGATTTTTGTTCTTTACTACTCTACAGGTACTACTTGCTTGGACTGTATTCTTTTTCCAAGTTTTGTTTTGTTTGTTTGTTTTTTTTTTTTTTTTTCCCCTTAACAATCAATTATTTCTTATTTATTATTTTTCTTTAAAACAGTAGAGAAAACATCAGCTACAAAGTTCCTATGTAAGTGCTTATTGTCCAAATGTCTTATTTCAATGGCTTTACATGATTTTGTTTGGGGAATTTGAAGCCGCTAAGTATAATCTGTGGATTAACACTCCCATCATGTTTCTTTACAGCATATTGCCCTCTAAACTATACTGACAAAAGAAGTCAAACAGTTAGTGCTTCTATGTATGCTTACTGGAAAAAGCATGTCAGATGACAAATAGTGTCTAGCTACTTTGCTGGTTTCCTGTGGTGCTTGGAAGTGCCTAACTTGGTCACTATAATTTTCAGTGGTTACTCTAGCTTTCTGGAATCAAACCCTGTCCCTCATCACCTCTATTTTTGAGAGCCTGTGAAGCAGCTGCCTATTTAAAAGCTAGCTTGTTCTCTCTGTAAGCCCCCACTCTTCCTCACTCCATTGGCAATTCCCCCCTTACTCTCCACCCTGTTTGTAATAGAAATTACAGTTCATGTTGGTTTCAGTCACACAAGGTAATCCAGATGCTGTTTATCCTTTCTTCCTGCTCACTAATAAATGACTTGGATACAGTCAAGTTGAGCAATTACGAAGCGATCATTTAAAATGCCTGCTTGCTGTATCTTGAATATTTGACATTTTATATTTACTTACCTAAATGAATAACATGTACAGTCAACATCTGCGCTCATCTTTTAGTCAAAAGAGTAAATGAAGGCAAGTAAAAGTGTTGTGTTTTATTCTGAATTTCTATCTCTCATTTAACTTTAACTTGTGGCAGTTAAGTATATATTCTTAAATATGAAGTGTAAATGCTGCTGTAATTTAGTTCTGAAGTTTTCTACCATCTTTTTTCAGTGGAGAAAAACATAGGAGGAAACACCGTCATTTTCCCTCTATGACAAGTCATATGCTCATTTCCAGAGAAACACTTCTTTAGTTTGAGGCTAGTTTTGTTACTGGTGTCACAGATGCTAGTGGCACTGTTTTGTTTCTGTATGTAGTGACGAGTCTCTTGCCAGTAGAAGGTGCATAGCACTAGCTAGTCATCTAGCTTTTCTTTCTCAGACAGACCTTAATACTGTTAATCATAATGTTAATATTAACTTAAAATGGGAAATAATAATAATAATAAATCAATAGCATTCATTACTTTTCTTTGTCGAAACAATGATGTTGAAGGTTGAAAGATAGATAGTAGATATTGAAAATAGAAACAACATTCCTAGGCAAAATGGACAGTCAAAATACTTGAATTCCACAGTCCTGAAAATTCTGTGTTCCAGAAGAAAATAGTGTCTTCTGTAGCACTTCATTAGAGATTTTTGCACTGTTTCCATTATTGGATCTGATTCTGCTCAGACTCAGAGTTCTGAATTGAGAGGTAAGGGTAGCAACCACCTCTCTTGTCCTTCATTGAAAATCAAGTTTCCAGAGAAATTTGCAGATCTTTTTGTAGTTTTTTTTTTTTTTTTTTTTCCTAACTGAAGTTAAGGAAGTTAAAGTTGATCTTAGCAAATTGTAGGTTATATTATAACACAGCTTCGAAATAGTTTGTTATTGTAGTTTGCATTTGTTGTTTTTTGCATCCAGTGTTTGTTACCTTTTCAATGGAGGACTGTATTGCTGGTAGAACAACACAGTTTTCAGAAAAAGTTCACTACTTCATATAATATGATGGATGGTCTCAGTTATGGAGTTTTGAATCTCATACCTGGAATGGAAACTGTGATTATGCTTTCCCTGTGCTATACCATGAAAAATATCTTGAAGATGTCACGGTCCAAATGGATTGGATTTTCATAGCTGACTGCTTTTGTGAAAATTTGCAAGAGTGAATAGACATTTGCAGAGCAAGTCCTGCCACTTTCCCTCCAATCTATTAATAGCATTTGTTCAGGAAGCAAAATTTGCTTACGTAAGTTGCTAAACAGTAACAACATGCAAGGAAATGAAGTAAATTAAATTATAGCCCCTCCTCTCACCCCAAATAGTACAAAGAAATGGAGAACTCATTTCAATGATTTTTCCAGTACAGAATTTGTTTGCAATAGCCAGGGTTAATAAATAATCAAGTGTCTAGAACTGCCAGCTCATCGAGGAGTTCTCATAACAGAAAAATATCTCGAGTATTGTTTCAGTTCATTGCAGCCATTACTTAGAATTTACAAATAGGGAAAAAAAAAAATTGCTTTAGTTTGAATAGTGTGCAAAAGTTGTTTCATTAGGGAACCAGAAATTTGCCAAGATGCTTACTAAAATGAAGACTCAGTGTTTCTTCCCCTCATTATAACCAATGGGAAAAACAGTTTTTATATCCAATTTCCTTTTGCTTTAAATTCTGTTTAGGATCAAGGTCTTAATTTAAGAATTGATTATTCTTGCTATGTGCTTCACTTGTGAGAAGAAAATGCTTTTTCCTGATGACTAATTCAACAAACTGGTTTTGCTTATATGCCAAAGGACACAGACAACAGAATTTTTCTTTTTTTCATTCCTCTTCGAAGTGAACCGAATCAAGTCTTCCCGAGGTTAGAACAGTGTCAAGGCTTTAAAAACACGAAAAAGTATTTCTGAATTTAAGCCTATAGCCATCCCTCCCTATTCTCTTATTTCAAATAGTGTTTCTGATGAAATCTACCAAGAACAGAGATGAGCTGTGTTAGAGAGAATTCAAGTACTGCTCTTCTCTACATGAATAGTGAACCAGTGTCCTCCTGTATTAGAGCTGTATGCCACAGTTGAAGGGCAGAGAAGAATTAACCTTTTCAGAAATCCATCTGCACCTGAGCTGCTTTAAGTTCTGGGAAATCTTTCAGATGACATTAAAGTGTGCTTTTCTCTCCTGGCTGTAGTAATTGTTCGGCATCGTTGCAAATTTCTGTGCAGTTCTGCTTCCTCGAGGGTGTTATCTGGTGGCCATTAAATCATTAGCATCATTTCCTCTCAGAGGACTGGAAAAGCCTGGTGTGTTCCCTTGGTGTCACATACTCGAACCTGTAATGTCGGTGTGCACTATTGCAGACCTGGTCTGCGTTACGCTGCAGCTGTAAAAGCAGTTCCTCAACAGATTTTTGTTGTAGGAACGACACATTCACAGTTGCTTCAGCTTTTGATACCTGTGGTGTTACAGTGTTGGTTATTTTGTGTATGGTTTGGGGTGGGAAGAAAGAAGATAAAACTAGTTTCAGATCATAGTAGCACACCAAAAAAATCTTACCTGTGTCTCTGATTTCATGGTGGCAATAGGTGAAGTGTTTGGGTGAATGTCACTCCTAAGCTGAATTAAAGGCTTTGCTTAGATATCATAGACAGAGCCATTTAAATGCTTTAATGCTTTTGAAATTACATGAGAGAGAGTTTGTGTAAACATAAGGCAAAATTCTCACTGAATATGAATGGATGTATTTATTGAGAAAAGTGTATTACTAAGGGCCAGGCACATTTTTGCTTGGGGGTAAAAGGAACATTTAAAAATAATCTCAGCTCTCGGGCCAGACTTCCCTTTGATAGCAACAAAAGAAGCTTATTTTTTGCCAGTTTGTAGGTTTTGCATTGAGGAGAAGACTTCAGTCTTGTTGAGCAATTTCTGTTTGCCAGTTCCCAAGGCAGGCTGTCTTGGAGCTACATCTGCTGCCTTTGGGACTAGTGCAGTTTAGACTATTATTTTTGTAGCAATAGACTAGTCCCTAATTATTCTTATAGAAACATTTACATTGAGGAGATCACTGCTAACCATCAGTGATGGTTCAGTAACCTTTTTTGTTGTTGTTGTTGTTAATTGAAAATATGGTTGACAAATATACCTTCAACCCATTCCCTATGAAAATGAATTGTTGTAATGATTTACTCTCCATCACCTTCTTTTTAATGTTCTTTTCCTACTTGTGTTTCTTATCCCCTTCTTAAAACAGTGACTAAGGTCTTACATGCCAATGAGTTTAAAAAAACCTAACCCCAGATCCTTTATCTAAACTGGTGCCTAGGAAAGGATGTAAAGGCAAAAGTTGGTTGGGAATTCCCCATATACTCTATACTCTGATACTTTCCAATGTTTTCCAGCTCAGTGATTTCCTGAAATAGAGGTTGTGGCTTTGTGCTAAGCTTTTTTTTCTTTTTCTTTTTCTTTTTTTTTTTTTTTTATTTAATTTTTGTTTATTTTTCAAGGTTCTTTCAAAGAACTCTTGATATATTTTTATTTTTTTCAAAGTAACATTCCCTCATGTGGAAAAACATATTGACTCTTCATCAGTACATTATATTTATCTGGTTTTATCATTTCATTGTTATTTTTACCTACATTCCTTGTAGAAATATCTGGACTTCAGAGTGATTGTCCATAACTCCTTGGATGCCAAAGTATTGTGACTTTTGCCATTTTCCATTGCGATGATACCAAAGCTGTTCTAAACAAATTTTCCCCTTTCCCTCTCCTGCCCTCCTGAACACACACACCCTGTACCACTCTATGCTAGTATGTACTTTGATTCTGGACTCTTTTGCCTGAAGGCAGGTTTTTAATAGTTGTAGCTATTAATATCTCTTATTAGCAGTAGAATTTTGTAAAAAACCAGATAGTTATTTTTAATTTGTTTTTTGTGTGTGTTAACTAAGGAGAAGTCCTTTCGTATTATCTGGTTTGTAGTCATTCCATGCCTTCGAAATAAATTATAGATGAGTGTGATGCTCTGAATGAGGTCATATAAATACAATTTAGGTCCTGGCACCTTGTACATGAAACTAATTATTGCTTGTTTTCCCTTTCTTCTTTTTAGAGTCTTTCATTGTACTATAAAGGAGGGTTTGAACAGAAAATGAGTAGGCGAGAAGCTAGTCTTATTTTAGGTGTAAGGTAGGTGTGTTGTATTAATATGTTTTTGTTTGGTAAGCATTGAATGAAGAAAATACATGTTGTGAGGATGTGGAATACTCTTGCCAAAATCATAACTTCTTTTTAAAAGACTGCTAATGGCTTATAAACCATTCTAATATTCTGCTTAAGCTAAAAAGCAAACAATAAAATGAGAATAAAACATCCAACTTGTGTTTGGCTTGAAGGCATGGTAACATATTGCAGTAGAGAGTTGGTGCTCTGGAAATAATCAGAATAGCACATACTGTGCTAATTAGTGTGATCACATGGCTTGGTCTCCAAAAAACCCTTTGAGATAAGTAATATTGTAGATTATATTAATAAACGAGAAAAACAAATGAATTTTGCTCTTTTTTTCAGAGGTCAGTAATATTCTTTTCTTTCTCCACTCTGATTTGTTTGGATTTTAAAAGTTGGGGCATATTCCTAACAAAAATACTTGAAGAGAATTATCATTTAGAGTAGGCATGGGAAATAATTTCCAGGTGTCATGGTTTGAGCCTGGTCAGCAGCCAAACACCACGCAGCCAATCTCTCCCCCTTCTCTTCCGGCAATGAGAAGGATCAGAGAGCCAGGCTTGGGGTTCGGGATGGGACTGAGATGGGGAAAAAATCACCTTTTATGGTCACGAGCAAGAGGCAGACTTGTTAGGTGAAGAAAAAAACCCATACATTTATTACAGACACTAACAACATTTGACAGAATTGGATAGTGAGAAGCGTTGCCACATCTTGAGAACACCTTCCCCCCACCCCTCCCTCCTTCCCGGGCTCAGCTCTGCTCCCGATATCTCTACCTCCTCCCCCAGTGGCGCAGGGGCAGGGAATGGGGGGTGCAGGCAGTGCTGCCACTTCTTCATCTTCGGTGAGGGGAGTGTCCGGAACTTGTTCCCCCTGCTCCATCGTGGTCCCCCTCTCACAGGAGACAGTCCTCCACAAACTTTCTCCAACGTGAGTCCCTCCCACAGGCTGCAGCGTTTCCTTACACTGCTCCAGTGCAGGTCACCAACTTTCTCCAACTGGATTCCCTCCCACGGCTGCAGCCCTTCCCGAGCTGCTCCGGCGTGGGACACCCCCACACACTGCAGCCCTCCCAGTGCTGAATTACAACAGCGGGGTCTACCTTTTCCCACAAGACCCCAGCCTTCTTCGGGCACAGCACCTTAATCATCCAGGTGAAACACTTCACAGGCCGTAAATCAGTGTCTGCTCCATGGGTGGCGGGGGGGCCCGCCCTGCCGTCTCACCACAGGATACAGGGGGGTCTCTGCTCCGGCACACCTCCCCCCTGTAGCACATGGCAGCTCACTAAAGTGTGTTTACAGTGGCAATGCCTAGCCTGAACACTGCTCATGTACGTGTCTGAAGTTTCATCACATCTGAAATCAGTCCCCTTTAATTTTTAATTTTAATAGCTTGAATCTGTACTGGGAACAGTGACCCTGCTTGTTGTGTTTGGACTGAGTCTTGCAAATATCAAAACTTAAGAACTTTCCTCAAATCTGATTAATATTTAAAAGATTGAGCATTTAATCGTGTAGGAGCATGGCTAACATCTTTATAGCAAATTCTCACATTGTTTACAGACACTTTTCTAGACCAGTTTTAGCTCACTGCTTACTATATTATATATAGATATATAACAATGCCACAGGGGGGAAAAAAAAGTGAATTTTAAACTGTTACTGAAAATGCCAGAGTATGCATAAATCCACAAACTAGATCTGTCTAAGCCCTGATACTATTATTATAACACTTGTTCTCTGTGTTATCACTTCCAAGTCATCTTAAATTTTGAGGCAAAGAGTTTCTTCATTATTTCAAGTGCTGAGTATGCATGGGCAGTATAAATAATAAACACAAGCCATGATGAAGGTGAACATTTAATGATAGCTTTTAAATTTCAAATGTATTTGCCCATTATACATTCCGAATGTTATTCTATAATAACCATCTTGAAAGATTTCAGGGGGTTTGGTAGAAACATGCATGTGCATTATTTGTGTTTAAACTATATAAAAGGTATCCAAAGCTACAAAGTACTGTATTGGAAATACTGACTAATTTTAAGTTTTAATGTTCTTGCATTGGTTATGAAGCATCACAGATTACCGAAGTTCAGTATAAACATAGTAATAATACTAACAACTGTGTAGAAGAAACTGCTGATGGGAGAGATGGGGGAATGTCTGAGATGAAATGGGAGGTGAAAATGTTAGGAGTGTTTTCCAAATGTTAGACAAAATAGAAGCTAACAAAATGTAGCTGTCCTAAGTATAACAGTTTACAATTACCAAATCCCTAACGCTGAACTTCTGAAGCTAGAAAATATGTCTGAACACGTTAAGTTAAAATTCTAGATAAAATTGAATGAAATTTTCTGTATTATAGCATTTTCTTATGAAACAAGATACATGCTTTTTCTTTCCATAGGAAATACTTGTTTGTTAATGGACTATATATATATATATATATATATATGCAATAGTTAAAATGTTTAAAGCATTATTCTTAAAACATAAATGACATAAAAAAAATTCGGTTATTGCATTAAAAAACCATTTTATACATTGTATAAGTGTACAAACACAGACATATTTAAGATTTAATCATTGTGGCTTTGGGTTTGTTTGGGTTTTTTAAATTCTATTTTGTTTTTAAACACAGCTTCCTGCACAGGTGTATCATACAATCATAAGGCCACTCAAGTTGGAAGGGACCTCAAGCGGTCTCTAGTTGTACGAGCTGCTCAAAGCACGAGCACCAGTGGGGTCAGGGCAGGTTGCTCAGGATTTTATCCTGTGCCTCTTGGAAGACTCCCGAGGATGGAGAATGCACAGCCTCTCTGGGCAGCCTGTGTCACTGCTGGACACTCTCTTGGGAGTAGAAAAACAGGATGTCCAGCCAGCACCTCCCTTTTCAATTTTTGCCCGTTTTCTCCCAACCTCCCGCCATGCGTGGCTGTGGAGAGCCTAGGCCCCTGCTCTTCACGACCCCCCTGTAGACGCTCGGGGGGCCGCCGTGAGGTCCCCTGGCAGCCCTCTCTCCTTCAGGGTGAAGGAGCCCCGCTCCCTCAGCCTCTCCTCAAAGGCCGAGCACTCCGGCCCCCGGCCGTCCCGCTGGCCTTTGGGCCCGGTGGGGTTGGCCCGCGTCTTTCCCGCGCAGAGGCCCCGGGCCTGGGCGCAGCAGCCGCGTGAGGGTGGCCGAGGAGCGGGGAAGCGCTGCTCCCGTCGGTCGCCCTGGTCGGCGCGGTCCCGTCCGTACGGCCCGGGAGGCTGTCGTCCTCCTCTGCTGCCGGGTGCCGCTGGTGGCTCTCGCTCCTGCAGTGCCCCGGGTCCCTCTCGGCAGAGCCGCTCCCCAGCCCGGCAGCCCCCAGCCCGGAGCGCGGCCGGGGGCTCTTCCTCCCCAGGCGCCGGGCTCCGCGGCTGCCCCTGGAGTTCAGGCAGGGTTCCTCTCAGCCCGTTCCTGCAGCCTCTCCAGGGCCCCCTCAATGCCAGTCACAACCTCCGGCCTACTGACTGGTCCCACCAAGGTGACAGACTTCTCCGCCAGTTGGTAATCTTAGAAGGCAGTCTGATGTTGGCGTGACTCAGGTGGTGAGGCTGTACTGGTTCGATGAAAATATGACTTTGACATTAAAGGTGGTTTTGATAGTGATTTAGAATCTTTAGAGACCAGTCTGACTGTGGCATAAACGGTATCTCAGAAACTAAGCAAATTTGATGTAAAATACCATTTTCAGTTGTTTCTTGGAGCAGAACTGCATGATTTTCCATAATACGCAACTGCAACTTTTCCGCATTTATGCTTTGGCCCTCTGAGCTTCTAAATGTGGTATAGCAACTTTCTTTTTTATTATATAACAACAACTTTACAAATCAAAATATAGATGACCGTTATTTTTAGCTGATACCAAATAATTTAATTTTTGTATTTATATAGTTCAAGGCCCTTCACCCTCTTTTTAATTCTTAGTTTCTGAGTTACTTTCTGTTCCGTTGAAGTATTCTTTTCTTATCCAGTTCTATGAACTCATTTTGCAACATACCCTAATTTCCTTGTGACAGAATAATAATTAGAGGTTGTTTACCTCGGGAATGTAGTTAGGCTGATACCTTGCATTCAAACTGTATCTACAGAAGGATTAATTAATTGAATCATCACTGATTAAGAAGTCACCTGAAGTGGAAAACACTGCTTCATTTCTGCATGCTAACAAATTATGAAAAACTAAACTATTCAAACTGGCCTTTTACATACGATAGCCTTACTGTGTTGGCATACAGCATCCTTAAGTGGTTATTTGTATGGTAAGGTACATATGTAATTTAAGCCAAGTACATATTTTATGTATCTGTCATTGAAGGAAATAACATTATGTAGCACTTGTAAATCAGCATGTCCTTGAATGTAACACATTGAATAACTTTGCAATAATAACAAATACAGGGTTTTTTTCAGGCCTCAGCAGAAAAAAGAATTATTTATAGCAGTCAGAAAAACACTTAAAGTAGAACAAAATGTGGTAATATTCAATATTTGTTGTTTTGTCACTGGTCATATAAATACTTACTTTCTAGGAGGAAAAAATGTATTTTCTGCATTTAATGATATGAATAACCAGCTAGATACACCCTAGAGCTGCTGGGGTTTTTTACCCCCCCCCCTTTTTTTTTCCCAAAATTGTTTATTTTGGGTGAGTGGATATATAGCATTTTAAAAAAAACCTTAAAGATATTTGTATGCATCAAATCCACAGGCTTTTTAAAAATGTCCTTCTCTGTGTGTCTTACACGCCTTTGTTATTACTTCCTCAGAGGTGTAGTTTTATGTTTTGTCCACAAGATGGTGAAAATCTCAAGTTTTAATTATTTTTTGAAGCCAGTATAAACTGTTAATTTATAACCTGAGCTCGGTGGCATTTATGGTAAGCACTTCCATTTATGTTTTCAGTCCATCTGCTGACAAGGCCAAAATCAGAACAGCCCACAGAAGAATCATGATTTTGAATCATCCTGATAAAGGTAAATAATTATCAATTTTCTTAACCAGAGCTGGAAAGAAAGACGCTTAAATGAGATCCTTTTAAGTTTACTGATTGTATAAGTAACCAAACTGAGACCAAATGTATGTTGTTTATTTATAGACTTGAGCTTCCATGTGTCTTCTCTCAGATAAACTAGGCTTTATGAACCACAGTTTTACCCATCTTTCTCTAAGGTAGTTTTCTAGACTTGTGCTGCTTAAATTAAAACTATGAGCTCTGGGACCAGTCGTTCACACTTTAAAAAAAACTTAATCAAAACTAAGAAAAAAATTAGCTAAACATTTTTACATTAAACTGACATTTTTGTTTTGAACTGAGGTGGACCAGTCACATGTATGAAAGTAACTTTCTGTCGGGAAACGTTCTGCAGTCACTGAGTACATCATTGATGAATTTCAGACTTCCTGGAATTCACTTGAAAAAAGTATAAAGATGGGCCTGTTGCTTTACTGGCCAGGTTTTTAATGTAAATTTATCTTACAGAAAGGCTATTATTATAACTTTAACTACACTACAGCTGGTTGAGAAAGAAAGCCCATATGTTCATTGCTGTTTCTACTTTAAAATAACAGATGGTGAAGAGTTGCACTGTATTTCAGAAGTCAAAAGGGGAAGTTGGAGGGTTTTTATATCATTTTGACAGAATTATAGGGCTCCCTGCCAGCACCCCATTTTAAGAAAATGAAAAAAATAACTGTGACCACTGGCCATAGGAAGTGTTTAGTCAATGCTTTTCTTTGCCGTCTTCACCCCTCAGTTTAATTCTGAAGTTGTCCTGCTTATTCGATTTCACACTTTCATTTTTTATACTATTTATAATGTATAAGCTACACAGACATAGAAAATAAATTATTTTCTGCATTTCTAATATATTATGATGGTCAGAGGCCTCTTAACCACTAGAGTACCTATTAGGTCAAAGTTTTTTGATAATGAACTTCTAAATTTATTGTAGCGGTACTTAGAGACGTGAACCAGAACTGTGAACATCCGTGTGGATGTTGAGTAGACGTAAAGAGGCTGTTCCCTTTACAAAGATTGTACATTTTAACAACCCACTCTTACAGCTGTAATCCACCTGCAGCTGGGCACAATGTAGGCTTGGATGGATGTAGTGAGCCCTCCTGTGTGCTATTAAGATGGAGCATTTTCTCAGTAGGAACACCAGTTGAAGGGATTTGTGCCTCTGTGCTGCCCCCGCAGCTCTTCTGGCATGGCCGTAGAAAAAAAATCTTGTCTAATGTCTTTAGCTGCAGAGCTAGGGCCTGGAGTAATCTTGAACATGTGGCATCACAGAGAGACTTGTTTGCTTATGTATATATCTTGATTTCTTCTGGCTGTGGATTGCACAGATGTGCTTTTAAAAATAATACACAACATTAGAATTCTATTTTAAAATAATATTTTACCAGATGGGGTTGACAGAAGAAAGGGCAATTATTACAGATTTTAAAAGTTACAGATGTTATCTGAGATCCCAAACATTGAAGAGAGAATTATTAGAAACAAATAAGAAATATATAAAAGATTGCATAATAACATCCCCAGTGAGCTCTACTAAAATGATTGCATATTAACCTCTTCATAGTTCAATTTAAAAGTGTTTTCATATTGATACATTGTATTTTAATTTATCAGTTACTAATTTTATGAAAGAATATTTGCTCACAGAAGTGGACGAGAGAAGCCTTTTGGACTTGCCCTAATTATAAACAAACACTTAGGCAATCATGAGATTGAATTTTCTCTCATTGGAGGGCTACCAAATTAATATGGCACTTAAGGATGTAAATGTAGTGAAAACACTTCCAACAGATTTGAATTTACTTTAAGATCTTGCATCCTAGACATGTAAAAAATCAATGTACATTTAAAAATTACTTGGGATACATTGTTTATTGCAGTTTTTAGTCTTTACTGTTTGTTTGATCCTCTTGTCTACTCTTTGAAGGAAGCAGTACTCAATGTAGTAAATCCTATTCCTGGCTAAAAAGCCAAGTAATTCGTTTAAAAAAAGAATAAAATAAGTTTGTTTTCCAGTAGCTAGTTCTCTACCCTTCCCTTGTCTTGCTTCACTTTCCTGTGGTGTGTCTTACCTATGAAAACTATACTCAAACAAAACCAAAACATGACAAGAGAACTTGTCCAATACTTTTTTTCCAGTTGTTTTATTACACCAGGAAATTACTTTATAATGTTTTGGATTCCTACAGGAATGTCCTAAAGAAGACTTTAAGTGAGCCTTGCCACATGTGTCTACAACTAGTTCTGTGTGTTTCTTCTATCATTATCTTTCCTGATGAATAGAATGAATGAAATGATGAATGAAAAATTATGATTGAACAGATGCTTTGGAAAAGGCTATTCAGTGCACAATACTGCTAGAATCATATTTTCATGTGAAAAATATAGGTGTATTATAGTAAGTGGTAAGTTACTGATACAGACCTTGTAATGTTGTTTTTGGTGACTGTAGGCAGATGGTTGGCACTCAGGGGGAGAGTTAAAAAAAACAAACACAAAAAGACTGCTGAACTGTAATCAGATTGTTAGATGGAGCGTAAAGCAATGACAGTGTTCAGGACTAGAAGTTAGAAGGCGTACCATGTTTAAATAGCTTTAATGTGACCGTTTCTGGCTGGTAACTCCAGGCATCTAGTACAGGAAAGGCTTAGTGTATGTGTCTATGTGCATATGTACACACTTAACGATTCTTTGTCAAAATTATTTGTAAAATTTTGCCTCTTAGTTTTTGGGGTGGGTGGAAATAATAGCTATTAGTTTTGGATGAATGTTCAAGACCGCTGACCTTGCATACATTTGCAGCAACATTGCACTGCAAGTCTAAATCACACTGATGTAAAGTGATTTCAGTCTTCTCTCAGAGACAAATTATTCAGAATTATTCTTCAGTGACTTCAGTTTTGATTACATTTCTCATGTTTCCTATCAATTAGCTTATTTCTTATCAATGTCATTTTTTTTTTTAAGCAGTTGTACAAAAAGGATCTGTTTAAGAAGGAAGAGCTAATAAAAATAAATAATAAGGGAATGCTGCATGTGAAGTAGTCTGGTACTTAATACTGATGTGTAAATGTTACTCCTTTCCCCTTTTTTCTTCTCAGGTGGATCACCTTACTTAGCAACAAAAATAAATGAAGCAAAAGACTTGTTGGAATCCACTGCCAGAAACTGAAATCCAGATCCATGGATCATGAGAGATTCATCAGATACTTTGTGCCACAGTTTTCATATCTACTTGCTCTGGACAGTTCCTTTAACACTGTACTGAATGCTCCTATTTATTGTCATAATTGAAAGTTTAAAATTATTTAAAAGCAAACTGAGATCTTTTACAGTTATGTAGAATTATGTACAGTTATGCTTCTGTAAGGAGCCAGGGAGTTGGACTCAATGATCCTTACGGGTCCCTTCTAACTTGAGATATTCTATGATTCTATGTATCAATTGTTTATTTTTACTGAATTATGATGCATTACAAGCTTTGAAAATGTTCTCCTACTGTTTGTGTTTCACTTCAGAATTAGTTGCTTCTTTCATTAAACTTTTGGAGCTTTTTAAAATTTAAAAAATAGTTTTAAATACAGTGGGTTTTCTTCATTGAAGACTTGACCGTTGGCAGAAAATCTGTGACAGTCTGTTGAGTCACAGGGAGTATGGCAGACCCTGCATGGCAAGTTTTCAGCATTGTCTTATACTTGAATCTGTTCATTTGTGAAGTAGAAGGGTTTATTTGTGAGTGCAGTTCGAGAGCTTCAACTCAGAACAGAATGACTAATGGGATTACAGACTCCAGTTTTCATTAAGTGTACCTATGGGGCTTGGAGAAATGAAGGAATAGTCTTAGGGTTTTTTTTGCATATTCAAAAAAAAAAATCTCTTAAATTGTCAAATAATTATTTGGGCACAGTTTGACTTCAAGTCAGAGTGCGTTTACTCTGTAGCAGCTGGGATGACACAGAGGTTTCCGTGGCAGTGGAACTGAAGAAGGCAGGTCCATGTGGCATGGAGTTCAGGTGGATTTTATAGCCTGCGGTTGTCTAGAAGAGTCCAGTCATGTCAGGCTGGCGCAGGACTGATATAGCAGGGAACAAACAGGACTGCACCCGATAGTACTTTGCTTATGGCTCTGAGTGGACTTAATGGGTTAGTTCTCCAGTAATTCTCACACCTCTGCATTGTGTTCCCTTTCCTGAGGTATCATACACACCTCCTCACATAGCACCCTAGCAGCCTAGTGCTGGCTTTGGGGAATATTGAAGGCATGGATCTCTGAGTTTAAAGAGAACACATTTTAATTGACAGCTGAGGGTAGATGTTATTTGGGGCACTTGGCTGCTACAGATTCCTACCAGTAATTTGGCTGCAGAGAGGATGATGATGAGATGAGACAGTCTAGTGGATTCATTGCAAGACTGAAAAACTTTCTTATATCTAAACTCGTATCATTTGAGGTACAACAAACGACTCGCTGAAGCGCTACAAATATAAAATTTAGATATCCCGTTTCCTAGGTTATTTAGCTAGAGGAAAGTGGCTAAGAGCAGTTAAATAAGTAAAGCATCCAACCTCATATTATCTACCAGAATGTACATGTCTGTTCATCCAGTGGTGGACGTCCAAATTACATGGATTTTTCCTTGAAAGGAAGAAAGAATATTTTTTTACTGTTTTTTTATCAGGTTCTTCCTACTTTGTTACAATTCCCTTACTTTCATTAAAGATAGATGAAAACATTTAAGTTGATCCTGACCCTGAAAGAAAATACTAAATTTAGGTAATTTAGAGTCTTCTTGACAATTAGAGTGGCAGGACATATGACACAACTGGACTGGATAAAGCAAAAAAAGGCTACGGGGAAAAACCTGCCTGGGAGCAGGCATACTCTGTACAAGTACTACACTTCTGACGTTTAATGAATGCTCTAATACAAGAAACATTTAATTAAAAATAATGCACTTTATTCCTATGCAGTAGCCTTAACTTTTTTGTTAAAGGAGTAGCCACCAGTTAATGTACATTTAAAGTTAGTTATTTCTTTCACTGGTATATCACTATGTATTAGCAAAAACAATAAAAAATAAAAAATCATGAAGATTTTCGTTTAGGGAGGAAAGAAGTGAGATGATGGGGTTGTTCCTAATTTTCTGAAGTGGAATCTGTTAGTGATCTGAGTCATTGTTCAAAAGCAAAGTTGATGTGTATGGTAGATAGCAAAAACATTCTCGCTAATGATTTTGAACTGACTAGCTGTTGTTTTGATATGATTGATTTTTTTTCTCTGAGTAAAATGAGGTGTAAAGAGCTAAAGTATCTGTTGGAAGAAGTGCATTAAAGATGGCTACTTCCTCTGTTCTTAAAGATTAACTCCCCATGTCTTTATAGGAAGTACAGGTTTTATTTTTGTGAGAGATTTTTGTTGATAATTTTCTTCCTGATCTAATTATTTATATCCAGTTATTTTGGATGAAACACTTTTTTTTCGACTTTCACTTATGAGAGAGGTTGTCCTTGATAAAAAGAAATAAAACCAAGTTCTAGTTCTTTTTTCTCCCTCTTTTCAGAGCAGACTACTGACCAATTAACAAATCTGACAAATTAACAAATTAAAAAATTCAACTTTGGCTAGTTTTATCTCTGGAAAATGCTGTAAAATGAGTGAAACTAATAAATAGTGGTTGTGGAAGCATCATTATTATATGTCCAGTGCCAGAACATCACACATACAATAGCATAAGAATGTATCCATGGAAGCAATTAATTTTTCTCATCTGTTTATTGTCAAAGCTTGCTTTACCTACTAAATGATGTTTGTAAGGATGAAGATCGGGCAGTGAAAGGAAATACGTTGTCAAGCAAATCATGTAAATACTGCTCAATTTTGTGTTGCTAATAGTCAACGTTGCAGATTAAGAATGTCTGGAGACTACCTTGCAGAACAGCACCTGGTTTGGTGCTCAACTGGACTAGGAAAAATGGGATAGTATTTTTAATAGCATAGGCTGTTAATTTAACCTTACAAATATCTAGCCTCTTGAGACTGTTTTGTTTACTTGTGAGATGCAGAAGGTTTGTTGTGTAAGAAAACCGCATAGGGATTAATTTTGATGCAATTTCCATCCATCCATAATGCCAGCACCAAGGAAACTCATTTGTGTGTGTGTGCGCTTTAATGTTGAGAAAGTGTTCATCTGTAACTTCTTAGCTAGGGGAATTCACAGGTAGTCTTTCTACTTGTGTGATAACCAGGCTCAGGTATCCTTTCTAATGTGAAAAGCTGGGCAGGACTGAGTGCATTCATTTGTCATTGCTGTGGGTGATTCCTCATTTATTTAATGTAGCTCAGCTTGCTCATCTGTCTGGTTTTTGTTCTGTCCATGGGAGTTTTCTCTGAAATTTCTTTCTTTGCCCTTGCCACAGCAGACTTAGGCATAGGTCCGCAAAAAGACATGGTCAAATCTGGTCACAAATGCAACTTGCAGAACATTCGCTCACCTAAAATGGGACTTGGTAGGATTAAGACATGTAAGTACAAGGCTACAATTCACAAAACCTTTGTCTGATCTCCTAAGTAATTTTAAAGGTAAAAATTTACTCTCCTATGTGCTTAACTGCTTCCTTCTTGCTAGGTCTTTGCTCAGTTTAACACTTGTCTCATCCTTAAATCCACAGATGGGTGACTGCTGTCTTAAATTCTCTGAAAAGCCTGATCCAGTAGCTGTGGTTGTAGGGTGCCTCATCAGCATCGATGTGAAGATTCTTCTATCTGTCCTGGTACTCAAATGAGGCCGGTGATTAAGCTGCGCTGTGGAGGTGATGGCACTTGCCCTGCTTCTTGGGGAAGTTGTGCCTCACTGCAGAATGAAAGGTTCATAAAGCCTTCAAGATCCCAGGGCTAGAGTACTGAGCTCCTGTCCCCACTTCTGGGTCACTTTAAAACATGAAATGGTACCAAAACAACTTAAAGTTCACCATCAAAGGTATTGCTATCTTCTTCGGGAGCCTTACTTTTCACATGTTGGGTTTTAGGATCTTTCCTTTAATTTACATTCTTCTATGAGCTTCTGTCTGTCTCTCTGTCCTCGACAAGCAGCGTGGTAGACTGGCACTAAATTGCCAACTACAGCTTCCAGAAGCTTTTAGTTGAATGGTGATAAAATTAACATTTTCCTTGGGTCATCATCAGCAGCTTTTGGCATGTGGCTTGCTAAGACATATTTGTGACTTGGCATTGGCAGTGATGCCAGCATAATCTTGGGACTTCTGTGCTTTGTCATTTCAACAATTTCTCTCAAGCAACAGAATGTATATGTATGTACATGTGTGTATAAGCACACGTGTTTATACACATACACACTGCTTTTCAGGATCCTGTGAGGAATTTTGCAACTGTAGTGGTGTGCACTTTAAAATTTTTCTTGAATTTTTTTGACTTAATTTTTCCAAATCAGATTATTACCATTTGATAGTGAGAAAAACTTTCTTCTTCATGAATATATGCAATTTCTGATACACCTCCCGTTCTTTCAAAGGCAGAAAAAATAATGCCAAAATAAATGACAGGTCTTAATTTATTTATTGTTGTATAAATAGGAAGTCAATAAAAAAAATTCAAACAACACACATCACCCAAACATCTCCAATTTATATTCTTTATTGAGTTTCTTTATACCCAGTTTTGATCTGGTATGAATACATACAATGTAGTTACAAGTCTTTTAAAGAAATAGTGGCACTGTACTTCTGCCATCATCATACCATATTTGTACTATTTTTTTACAGATCCACGTTCCCAACTTTCTTTAAATGAGGAGAATATAAACCTCCGTGCTAAAAAAATTATGGTAGAGCTTTTTTGGATGTTGCCCAAATAATATTTTCTATTTGCGAGTCATTAAAACTTCAGCTACTATAAAAATATGTTTTTGTATTTTACTTTATTCTGTTTTGAAGGTTTATTCACTGGATCAGGGCATTGAGTAGGAGGGAGGGAATTTTAGATTGTTATTTGATGTCTTACTGTGGGTGATCCCTGAACGATGGGGTGAGAAACTTCTCATCAATAACTTGAATTATCAGCCTAGACATCAATACACCTACTTCCTTTAATATGAGAAAATCACAAAGCTATACTTAGAAATATAATTTTCACAATGGTAGCATCATCTGATTAATATTATTAAGATTTTTCAAGAGTTAGTCATGGTACACAGAATAATTGCTGTACAGCTTCATGTGACATTAAAACACCCCTACTGTGCTATTACAGTTTCCTTATTTATATACTAACTTATACAAGGACGGGTTAATTAGTTTGGGTTGTTTTTTGTTTTGAGGTTTTTTGGTTGGTGATTTTTTTTTTTTTTTTTTTTTTAATATACCAAAGATTGCATCTAATAAACTGTAGTTTTAAATAGTGGCAAACATCTTCTCCAAAATGGTTCCTCTCCAAAATGGTTGTGTGAATTAAACACTGCATCAAGCCTGATTCTGGATGTAGTGATTTCTCCTGACTGTTGGAATTGATCTGGGCAACTTGGATGTTCCTTACATCTGGCAGGTGAGCGAACAGACCGTGTTGCAAGGAATGGTAGAGATCCTAAACACTGCAGTGCATACGATATAATGAAAGAGACCTAAATGAAGTTCTAGTAGATAATTCTGTGAGTAAAACGCTTTTGGGATGGCTGGGATCAGGAGGTAGTTGTTAAGGGGCTGTACTCTACCCAGAGTCTGGTTTGTCGTGGGACCTCTTCCATTTAACAGTTTTGCTGGTGACCTGGAGAAGGAGACTCTCATCAAGTGCACTCTCATCAAGTTTGCAGATGCCACCAAATTGCTGGGACCAGTCGATAGGCCGGAGGTTGTGACTGGCATTGAGGGGGCCCTGGAGAGGCTGCAGGAACGGGCTGAGAGGAACCCTGCCTGAACTCCAGGGGCAGCCGCGGAGCCCGGCGCCTGGGGAGGAAGAGCCCCCGGCCGCGCTCCGGGCTGGGGGCTGCCGGGCTGGGGAGCGGCTCTGCCGAGAGGGACCCGGGGCACTGCAGGAGCGAGAGCCACCAGCGGCACCCGGCAGCAGAGGAGGACGACAGCCTCCCGGGCCGTACGGACGGGACCGCGCCGACCAGGGCGACCGACGGGAGCAGCGCTTCCCCGCTCCTCGGCCACCCTCACGCGGCTGCTGCGCCCAGGCCCGGGGCCTCTGCGCGGGAAAGACGCGGGCCAACCCCACCGGGCCCAAAGGCCAGCGGGACGGCCGGGGGCCGGAGTGCTCGGCCTTTGAGGAGAGGCTGAGGGAGCGGGGCTCCTTCACCCTGAAGGAGAGAGGGCTGCCAGGGGACCTCACGGCGGCCCCCCGAGCGTCTACAGGGGGGTCGTGAAGAGCAGGGGCCTAGGCTCTCCACAGCCACGCATGGCGGGAGGTTGGGAGAAAACGGGCAAAAATTGAAAAGGGAGGTGCTGGCTGGACATCCTGTTTTTCCACTCCCAAGAGAGTGTCCAGCAGTGACACAGGCTGCCCAGAGAGGCTGTGCATTCTCCATCCCCGGGAGTCTTCCAAGAGGCACAGGATAAAATCCTGAGCAGCCTGCCCTGACCCCACTGGTGCTCGTGCTTTGAGCAGCTCGTACAACTAGAGACCGCTTGAGGTCCCTTCCAAGCTGGATTGTTCTACCCTACGAGATCCAGTGGAAAAATCAAATGGCAGAGGTATGCTAGCAGAATAGTCATATGGGGGAAGTATCGTGTAATAGTTTCTATAGGTGGTTTTGTTTGCGTGCCTTTTTATAGTCTGAAGCACAGCATTTGCGGCCTCAGCTGAATTTAGAAGCATAGTTAAAACTGTCTTCAATGTTTGGAGACCCACACAAAATAAAATATTTGTATTTTAATACAGCTCCATGGTGGTGTCCTGGAGCCAACACTGAAGAGGACTCTTGAGTTCAGTCTTGGTGTCACTGGTTGTGTCAGTCCTTTGTTCTTAGTACCAGGTAGTGGGAAGCTGCCTAGTCTCCAGTGGGCCAGGAGCAAAGACATTCTGCCTTGTAAAACTGCCAGTGGCCTAAACTGACAGAAATATCTCCTCAAATCATGAGCACCTAGTTAGCAGGTTCAGCAGCTGGCCAGCCAGTAATTGTTTAGCGCTTCCCTCGCTGGCTGGGTCAGTGGGAATTACTGCAGTAGGAATTGCTGTAGGGGAGAAACTGATCATCTAGGGGAGGCTTAAAGATCTGAGTGCTGAGGTTACTGATAGCAGTTCAGGTTTCCCAAATTAAGTAGAAGGCTACAAGATTCCCTGTTAGATTTTCTTTAGTCTCAGCTGGGGAAGAAACAGTGGGATTCCCCACTGAGAAAAAAGTCCTTTGTAAGCTTCTATTTGTTATGTTTTTCCTAATCTTAGTGTATTATTTAACCACCAGCCCACATCACTCTCAACAGCACATAGATACCATTTCAACAGGGGCCTTAAATACCTGAGAGAACGAGCTGGAAGCCAGGTGCTGTGCCACAAAGCAACATCTGCAATTTGCTTACATGCTCAGTTGGCATCTCCATATGCTGATATTACACAATTAAATATATCAGTCTTTGGTGAGTCAGCTTCAGTCTTTTCAACCACCCCCTTCATTAAGAATACAATCCTGCAGATGTTTCTGGGGCTCCTGCTTTCCCTTCAAGCCATCTTCTCAGTAA